CAGTGCCATCCCTGGGTTCACATCAGCTGGAATGGGTCAGATCCTCTGGAATTTTGCCCTTCAAGTGTTTGGCTCCTTCTCACATGAGCAGTATCTGGGACACTTCTGCCCTGGTTTTCCTGTAAATCTTGGCTTTCCCGGGCTTCATCTGATCCTGTTGTTGCTGGAGGTCGTTAGGGGTGTCATTCAGTCTATTTATTAGGCTGGTTTATGCTGCTGGCTCTGGGCAGGGTCTGTCCCCTCACCTTTGGCATTGCAGTTCCTGGCACTGCTCCGCACAGGCACCAAAAAACCTCCTGCCTTAGGGATTTGGGTGAATAATCCTGATTTTCAGGGGTGCTGGTGACCAGTTTTCTCCTCTCTGATGAGGAGGGACTGCAGGAGCTGAGCCTGGTCGGTCCAGAGAGAAGACTGAGAGGAGATCTCGTATAAATCCATGCAATCTGTATAAAAACATCTGCAGGAGGACAGTGCCAGACTCTTCCCAGGGTGCCCCACGACAGGACGAGGAGCAGTGGCCATAAAATGAAGTACCAGAAGTTGCACCTGAACATCTGGAAGGAATCCTTTCGATAGAAGGTGGCAGAGCTGCCCAGGGAGGGCCTGGAGTCTCCCTCTGCAGAGACATTCCAAACCCATTCCTGTGTCACCTGCTCCAGGTGACCCTGCCTTGGCAGGCAGTTGGACTGGATGATCTCCAGAGGCCCCTTCCACCCCAGCAATCCTGTAATTCCATAACTGATGAAGATGCATCAGTTGCCCACGTTATAATCTTATTTTTAGCTGTCTCACACCGACACAACCTCGTGCTTCAGACCTCTGAGCAAAGCTCAGTGTTCTCCCCTCCCGAAAAACTCACAACTAATGAATGATTTGAAAACCATGAGGTGTCCAAGCCACTTGTTTTATGTTGTGGAAGGAGCTCCACCACTGAGAATGTGTTTGGCCTTTGATGAAAGCGACTCCTGCGTTTGGTCTTTATTTAAGTAAAACCATGTTTGGCCTGGTGGCAACTCCTGGCGTTTTCCTTCTCACGTAGAGTTTCTGCAGGACAGCCCAGGGCCATGTTTGGGGCCAAGAGGATCTTCTTAAAGGGTAAATTTAACCCTTTGCTGCTTCTCTCCCACTCAGGCATCTGTGGCTCCTGTGCCATGAACATTGGAGGGGGGAACACGCTGGCCTGCATCAAAAAAATCGACTCTGATCTCAGCAAGGTCACCAAAATCTACCCTCTGCCCCACATGTACGTGGTGAAGGACCTTGTCCCGGTGAGTGTGGGCTGGGGACCGTGGATGGCAGCATTCCAGGCAGGTTTGGGGTGGGAAGGATGGCCCTGGGAGGTGCCAGCCGAGATCAGGTCTCGCATTTCACGTGTTCCTCGTGCTGCTGGTTTTTGGGTGGGTCTGCAGTGACTAAATGTGTCCTCACTGGGAGGAATGTGGCAGGTTGAGGTCGGAAATGCCACCTTTTGTTGGAGTGGGGGCAGAGATTGGATCTGTGCTGCATAAATTTGGTCTGGTGTGACAGGAGGCTGTGTCAGGGGAGGATTAGGGGGGATCTCAGGAGAAGACCCTTCCCCCAGAGGGTGGTTGGCACTGAACAGGCTCCCCAGGGCAGTGTCACAGCCCCAAGGCTGCCAGAGCTGCAGGAGGGTTTGGACAACGCTCTGAGGGACAGGGGGGATTGTTGTGGGTCAGGAGTTGGACTCAGTCCTTGTGGATCCCTTCCAGCTCAGGGTGTTCTGTAATTGTGTAAATTCAGCTCAGTAAATGTGACCTCTCTGCTCTGCGGCTGCAGGACCTGAGCAACTTCTACGCCCAGTACAAATCCATCGAGCCGTACCTGAAGAAGAAGGACAAGTCCAAGGAGGGCAAGCAGCAGTACCTGCAGTCCATAGAAGACCGTCAGAAACTGGTCACTGCTTCCTTTTCCACCCTTAAATCCCCTCCCAGATAAGACCAGGCTTAAACCTTAATGTGCAGCAGGTTCCAATTGCACAGAGCTGCTGCAGCCCAGCAGGGGTGGGACCTGCCCCGAAATGCAGGACCCGGCAGGGGCAGTGGACGGGGGGGATTGGCTCAGGAGAGGGAGCTGTGGCTGCCCCGGGCACTGTGATCTCACTGCCTCTGACACCCTCTGCTGTGGGGACCCAGAGCCCTTGTGCTGCTGCTTGCTGGGATTTACAGCCTGGAAAACCCATGGCAAAAGCCAAGTGCTATTGGATGTGGAGGCATAAGCGTGAGGGCGGGTTTTTGGGTGTCTGTCTTGAGCAGAGAGTTGTTTTGAGGGGATGTTTTTGGTGGTGCTGATCCAGAATTTCTCCAGGAAGCTGAAGGGTGTCTGAGGAACAGCTGGGCCATAAGAGCTTTTTAAAAAGCTGAGAGTGTGGTGAGTTTTGGGGTGGGTTCCTTGGCTGCCACAGT